AAACTGTATCTTAGCGTTAAGTTATATTTCGTCAAACGTTTTGGTGATATGTAAATCTATTGTATTCTGTTATCGTGTATGAAGTGTCATATTTCATCAGGGTCATTGTGTTTCGATATTTATTTTCGCAATTTTCTATGAAGACTTCAACGCACGGATTACATTTTGAAACTTGGCTAGTTAAAATATCACTCTCACAAGAGTACTTTCGCATTTGTGTATTGAAATGTTATTAACGAGTGTTATGTGTGAATAAAGTAGAAATGATATTGAATTGTTATATATTCTCTATACGAAATCCAGCGGGTAAATATATTAATATAGTTTTTCTTTTTTCTGAATTTGTTTTTATTTTACCGCCATAATACAACCGGATTAGCCACACGTTTTACAACTGATATAAATCCCTTCCCATAAAAATTACAATAAAAACTACAACAAAATTACAAATATATTTACCGAGATTAAAATTCGCTTGGTATTTAATCTGGTGACCGCGGATATACCGAAATTAAATCCCCGCAAATATTACGAACTTTACATTAATGAATAAAGCCTTGTTATGAAATTTAAAAAAAACAAAAACAAAAACAAAAAAACATATCTACCACTTCCATACTCTTTTCCATAAGAGAAGAACACTTGTTGACACACATTAACGAAGAATCTGTAAACGGTATGTTTAATGACATCACACAAGAGAAAAGGCAATACGAAAGGTCCCAGAATAATGGCGAACATTTTGTAGAAATTCCACGTGTATCCCTGCTTTCCTCATCATGTTGTTTTTAAGCGGCACCTTCTAAAAACAAATTGGTATTTCATTCATTTAAGATGATTTTGAGGATTACTGAAATATTGATATTGATATGTTTTTTGTTGCAATACAAACAGATGTAAATTACGCTACAGCGTTGTATCAGGAAAGCGATGTCCGGGCGTTTTGCTCATATACTGTTTTCAATATGCATTTTCTTTTTACACCATTGTGCTATAACATACCAAAACCGAAAACTGAACTTGCCGCCTTCCATATGATACAAGTCGAATAGGATTGACACTGCCACAGAATCCTATATGTGATATGTTTAACACCAGACGAAAAGAACCGCGACACAGCATAGCGGTAAATTAATCGGCTTTAAGTTTGGTGAAGTCATTCTTCAATCTTAAAAGACAGGTAGATCTACCAGTCAAGCGATTTGTCAGATTTTTTTTTATCTGAAACCAATAAAATGGCTAAACACAAGCCTTCGATTTCATATATCCAAAGGGTGCAAAATAGATACATGTATTAGGAAACTCTCAATCTTCCTTAGTGGAACTGCAGCTCCTCAACCCTATTGTCCCAACACTCAGTACATGTAAGTGATCTTAGGGGCAAATTGACCATTTTCTATTAAATTGCCAAATAAATCAACCCGTCTGAAATCAATCAATCATTTTGCATAGGAAATCATTTTCATTCAGTTCCACTGTGAATCTGTATTGTCGAAAAAAACTGATTTATGTGAGTCTGAAATAGAGCAAATGTCAAACAACTATTTTGTAGAAGAATATAACAAAATGATATACAAGTTGCACCCTCATACGAGATGATAAGTAACGGAATGTTCCCGTATCATTCTCAGGTGCCTGCTATACAATTGTCTTCCTCATACTTACGTCGCACTACAGATATGTCGTTAATTTGGATTTCTAACTTCATTGTCCAAAGCATCACCGATGAGTCCTACAAAGACGAAACAGCTGCATGCTGTAATACAATTAATTTTGGGGTCCTGTATCTATCACCAAACGTTGCAATCACCTGTAAGAGTTACGTTGATCTTAAGTATTAATTTCACTCAATTTAAAATGTTTATTTATCGAATTTATAGTATTGTTTGTTTTGAAATCAGCAAATATTCTTAGAACATCTATGGAGTAAATATCTAAATAGAAAGTTTAAATGCACAATTGTAGTAATACTGAATTAGGAAACAGAAAGATAGGACATCCGGAACAAAATTTGATATTCCTGTGCCGGTGAGTAATAGCTCAGTAATGTCGGATGATAGTTTCATATTTTCAAACGAGAGCGTTGTACGGTTTCAATCTTACTTTCTATATACAGAGTTATTGTTCCGCGGTTCTCACTTTGAATGCGTGGCATTATCTTTGTTTTGACCCATATTTGCGGTATTGTTGGGACAGCATATGGCAGAAGTTGGAAATTATTCCAATTCCTTGTAATGATTTTGTCATTGTTACTTAACAAATGACAAAATGAGTGTTGTTCTGTATTATCGTCGTTGTCCATAAACAAACATTGACTGCTTATCATTTTCTATCCTATTAGCGTCATTGTTACTTGCCTTGATATTGACATATTTTCCCGTCACACTTTGACAAATTTGCATATTTGTAAAACCCATTTATTGCAATGGTGTTTCCCTATATATTGACTTACTAAACACATCAGCTGATCTAGTTATCGCTGTCTTAGCACTTTTGCTGACAGGAATATAAAGTAAATAGTTAAGGTAATTTTTGTTGCTGTCAATGATGCAATTGACACTAAATTGACATTAAATTATACGTAATTAACACAATAAAAAGAATGTATATTTTAAAATTATATTTTTAAATATTTTATATAATTTTGTTTCAAACATTTTGAATTAAATTTCGACATCTTGAATTTCTTTGTGGGTTAAAGAAGTAAGTCTATTCTTGCTATCATTAGTCTGCCTTTTTATTTCGTTGTAACTAGCCCGTATCTCCTTTTGAGTAAGTGGTAGTTGCTAGATATGATCAAGATTTACATTTCGCGTGTCGTAGATGAAGCAGAAAACGCTTACAATTTTGGAACACCTGGTCTTATTTCCCTACACTTGTTAATGGTCTCCATGTACATGTGAAATCTTAATTTGTTTATAGTTAGCCCAACGTTTAATTATTTAAAGTCGGAATTACGGCTTTGTCGACATTTGATGACAACTTATGTTTTGTCATCCTATATTTTGCCTTTGTGATGCTCTTGGGTTACTTGTTTTGGTTCCTGTTTTCTCTGTATTTATTTTTTTTGCTTTCGTTGTTTATTGCTTACCTATTTATGGAATTTACACTGAAACTAACTTTGACTATTTTATTGAAAAAATTGGCAGCGTTAACTCGAGCAACAGTCTGTGTGGATAGGAAGTAAAATACAGGCAAGTTTTAGACTTGAGCAAGTCTATCAGATTACAACGGGATCGGGAGATTATATTCGCTCAAAGAGTTAAATACAAATATTGTAGTCAGTCTA